CCCGCCCCCAAAATGAAAGTCTTCCACTAGCGGTTCAAGCCTTAGACACACGGCAAACCCTCCCCCCCTCCCACCCCAGGCAACCTATTTTCCTACCACGTCGCCTGCTGCCCTTACCGAGCCGGGGCAGTTCTTCGGACATCCTAGGACATGGATTCGCTTACAGGAACGCTGAGCTCAGTCGAATGACCCCTGCTAAGCTCCCGACCAAATTCAAGCTGTGCACTACATCAAAGTCTGAAACTTCACTTAAAAAGAAAATAAAAAAAGAGGTTAAAAAAAAAAAACTTCAGCAGAGAATGAGGTTTGGGGGTGGGGTTTTTTTTTGTTTTGCTTTTTTTTTTTCTTTTTCTTCCTTCTTTTGGTTGTGGAGGGGGCATGAGGCAAGAGTCCTGGTTCTGAAGCACGCGACAGCAAACTTCCAACATGAAGAGATTGTCGAGGGGAGAGACATTGGTGTGTTGTATTGCTCCGCTTTCCCTCCTCCCCCCACCTAGTCCCCTGCCCCGGACACCCTGCAGAGTGAGAATACAATGAAACTGGTTTGTATTTATAGCTATTTTACAAGGTTAAATAAGAACAACAATAATAATAATAAAAAATTGAACACTAAAATGAACAGGTTGGTTGGTTTGTTGGTGTGTTTTTTTTTTTTTTCCTCTTTTTAATTTTCTTTCCAAATGTGACCAGTGTTGCTGAGCAAGACTCAAATTACTGGTGATTTTTCCTGTGCAGCTGGCTGCTTGGTACCGGTTCAGGTGGAGTTGGAGGCTGATGCTGTAGCTACACTATTGGTCTGAACTCGTTCTCCTGCATTAACATCTGCAAATGACAGGCAAGACGAAGGGAGAAAACCAGCATTACCTCCAAAATACAGACATTTGGAACAACAGCGATGACATTTTCCACGCAGGGAAACCCACAACCCCCACCAATGCGCTTATTCGGTTACGGCGTTTTCCTGATTTCAAGGGGTGCAGATGAAACGAGTCAGTCTGGGGGGAGGGTGGGAAGAGGATCTTTAAGCAGGACCAAGGTGCTGCGAAAAGGCAGTTTCAAAGGCTGAGGGCTGCAGGCCAGCATGCTAACACCCAGCTGGAACTGAGCAGAGTTTGAACCCGAAATGTGCGCGCAGCAGTATGCCGGGGGAGCCCATGGTACCTTCCAGTAACTCTAATTGCAGGATAAGGCACAACAGCATCACCAAAGTTAACACACAAAGTATCCATGGCCACTACAAGGTTTCACATTGGTTCTGAAGTTTTTGGGTTTTTTTTTTTTTTTTTTTTTTTTTTTACCGTCAGGCCATCATGAAACAAAGCCATCTGCTAGTTGCCGGAACGGGCACAGACAATGAGAGCAACAGGCCTGCTTCCCCAGCAGACACAGCTTGTGTGCTCATGTGCCATTCATGCACTCATTGCCCCAGAAAACGTCTTTCGAGTCTACTGCTTTATTCTGTGTTGCTCAACCAAAGTTGCATCTGCCACCCCTTGAACTGCTGAAGCAGATTACCATCGAGGCCTGAAGCCAGTCGTGAGGTTTACACAAGCGTACAACATTGTTAGAGGAGCAGTTCTCTGTAGCAAATAATCTCAAACACCTTCTCTTTTCTCAGAGAGACCGTGCTCCGCCGAGAGGGAATTCACAGCAGCAAGGGCACGTGTCAAAGTGCAGTCCAAGGAAAAGCGCACAGAGCTTGCAAAGAAATACCGATGGGAAGTTCACTGCCACTGCGCTCTCGTGTGCCGTACAAGGGAAAAGTGGAGTTGCTGCAGTTTGTGACAAAGTTAATTAACCAAGGAGAGTCTTCATACTAATATGCAAAGGCCTTTAGAGGGGATTCTCAGATGTTTTATTAAGTAATTAAGTACTAAGTATTTAAGAACACTCCAACAAAATGAGGCAGACTGGCAATAAGGCTGGGAGTAGAGTAAAATAAGAGCCAAGCTGTTAATAAACATATTAATATATTAAGAAAAACAGAACAATATGAGGGCCAATTAACCACAGGCATTTGTTATTTTCCCTAAAAATCTTTCTTTCTTAGCATGAGAAGAATTGGGGGTGGGGGGGAGGGAAATGCACCGATTTTATCAGGAACCATCCTATACAGTATCTTAACATAACTGCATTAACATAACTGCAGAAAGGAAAGTGGCTGAAAGGTTAAACATATGAAATACTCAACACAATAAATGCTGGAGTGGGAAAAGATACCAAGTGAGGTTTTCTGCAAGAGACCATCATGCATTTTTCCTGCTTAAGTAAGGTCAACTGCAAAGTTATCAATACTGCAGTAAAAAATGACTTATTATCTCAATAAAGAAGAGGGTGGACTGGGCAAACAGTGCAGTCTAAAGACACAGGGAAAAGGGCTCACAGAAGGAAGGAGGTTTCCTGACATCAAGCTGAAGGACAAATTAAAACTGTGGGGTGGTGGGGGTGCAATAAGACTTCTCCAGCACAGAAGAGCTTGCGAGGCGACGCAGCCAGGCAAGGCTCTACAGTCACCTGTTAAGGAAACCTCTTTCCTCTCTAGCCATGTTGAACTGACCATTCTTGAGAGCACAGCCAGGAGCAAGAGGCAATGAAATCAATGGAGATGCTAGAAACAGGCAGCACTGGATGAGCAATAAATTAATGAACGTACACAGAGAACAAAAAAAGCAAACAAACAGAAAAAAGAAAATCAAACAAACAGCAGCATCCACGACTAAAAGGGGCAAGTGGGAAGAGGATGATGCCTACTTGAAAAGGAAATGCCATGAGCAGAGTGTGGGAGGAAAGGGAAATTCTCCTGTGCGCAGAGGATGACAGATGACTATTCTGGGAAAGAGCTTCCCATTCCCTTCCCCCTACCCCCACCCCCTCCCAAAATAATTTCAACACCCCTACCCCCTGCCCCAACAAATACCTCGAGATAAAACCAGCTCATGCAGTTAAGGCACTAACAGTACGAATGTGACTTGGAAAGCCAGCCTTGCACAGGAGACACAGACCCTCCCACACAGGAAGTTGCTCTGAAGGAGCTACTCCCAAAAGGCACATGCATGCAGACCAAAGATCACAGAAACCCAAAGTAGCCCAGCCAGATAGCCAATAGCTTCCACACTTGAAACTCTCCCTGGGCCTGTTTCTGATCAATTTTCAGGTAAGGGTAAACGCTAAGCAGTGAATGCAACATCTGCATGCCTGATGCAAACGGTCCAGTTGGAGCCTGTACAACTGGCAGAGACTTTCTGTGTGCGTGTACAGAAAGTGCTTCTATTCCATTTGCTGAAATGAAATGTGCCTTTTCATCTTCTGCTCCTGAAGACAGCAGAGGCTGAAATCATTATCATTACATTGCTATTAAGCAGAGAGAAAGTTAAAAAAAAGGGGGGGGAGAGGGAGAGGGAAAGGGGAAGCTACCTCATGTAACCTATGCTCCTTTTCTGTCATCACTCTAATAGGAGAGCTCCTGAAAAAAAGCTCCTCCTCCACATGATCAGAAAGGAATTAAACAAGGTGACACAGCTCCAGCCCATTTACATGGGGCTTTCACAACAATATACGAAAGTCCACTCAAGCTGGGACAGAGCATGGCGTTTGCTCAAGGCTGTATTGGCTCGCATTGGCTCAGAACCTGCAAGAAAACGCAGTATTTTCCCATTCCAGCTTGTTTTCTGCCTCCACTTCAATGGGACATTTGGGGAACAAAAGGGGGCTTCTTCCAATGTTTCTTCGCTTATGTGCTGGGAAAAGAGCACAACTGGAATACCATGCTCTCTGGACGTTCGGTTACTCCTTCCCACCATGAGGAATTGGTACTTGGGCATGAGAGAAGAAAATCTAGGCCTTCCGCAGATGTTGCTAAAACACCTGCTTTGCTAAGCAACCACCCGTGCTCCTGAGAAAGCAGCGTTTGGGAGTGAAGCCTCCCAGATGACATGGAGCTGTCTGCTACCGGAAAGACACCCACAACAGCCTGTGGCCCACAGCCTGCAGCTTGAGCTTAATCTGATTCTCTGCTGTGAACTGCCCCCCTGACACCTCCACACGCGTGGGGAGAGAAAGCACATCAGGGTTTAAGTGCTGGTCATTTCTAAAACTACTTTCAAAGGGGGAGGTAAAGAAATGGGAAGTGGTCTCTCCTCGCTGCAGAATCTCTCTTCCAGTTGAGCTTCTCCCCTGGAGGAGCGCGCCTCTGCCTCCCTGCAGGGTACCTGGCACTCCTTAGAAACCCACTGAAAAGGACAGAGAAGGCTTTTGTTCGGAGAACGAGAGAGGTCAACTCGGTCTAAGAAAGCCCATTACCGCTAACGAGGGCAACAGCTGGCTGGATTTGTATCGCTGACAGACCGCGCTGCTCATCCGCAAAGAAACAAACTACCGGTCTGAGGGTCCTCACAGGACAACTGAGGACACAAGTGGAAGGAGAAAAGTCCACTCTTCCTATCATGTCTCTGGCTGTAGAAATCCAGGCCTCAAGTGCAAAACTGGGAAGCTCAAGTTTTATTCCTATGACTGTCACGGACTCGTCTCTGTGCTGAGCTTGCAGAAGCACAAGCACAGTGCTTGCCCCTCTCTCCTGGATAAGGAACTAAAGTCTTGCAAAATTCTTTCAGTGGGAATACCATATATGCACTAAGCCTTTTTTCACGGCGTGCTGGCGTCTTTTTAACTGCCATACACTGGCAAGTAACACTAGCTCTAATCTGAGCTGTTTTGTTGCTGAAAGTTCAGGCACACAATCTCATTTGGGATTAGCAGGGATCAACACAGCAGGCTGTGTAAGAAAATGACCCCAGCGTCCCTGCTGGCACGACTCCCCTGCGGATGGCAACTACACTTTTCCCGCCCTAACGCTGACTAGCAGAGAGGTAACTACTGCTGCTGGCTGAGCTAGGACGAAAAACACGTAGTCATACACACAGACAGGCATTCAACTCGGTGTGCTTGCTCCCACCTCACATGCTGTGGCTGCGTGGCGATGAAACTATCCTCCTCCTCCAGCTAGGTCAAGTCAGCATCCGCGCGAATAAAGCTGCACTGCCATTTTTATCGATGGCCAGTATAATCTGCAGAACGCTATCACACCATTTCAAGCATGGGCCTGTAATTCCCCTCTTGCTTTTCTTCCGCTTTGCTTTAGACATGCCACTATGCCACAGAGAATTTCTCGTTATTTGGTTGAATTTCCTAACGCTAGTGCAGCAAGGCTTCACACGCCCACTGCAAAGGCAGCTTCCATTAGTGCAGCGAGTCCATCTTTATACCTCCAGAGAAGAGGAAATTTAGAGCAAACACATTTCTTAACGCTCAAAAATTAAATACAGTAATCCCCCTGTACATAACATCATGATCCCAGGATGAATGGTGCACTGAGCTATTCAAATCACCACCGTGCACCTATCAGTTAGTAACTATTACCCATTTCAGATAACTTTTAAACATTGTAATTTTAGCTTGAGTGTAAGTATTTCTGCGAGTTTTAAAAGGGAGCCATGTAACCTTGTGTAGTTAAAATAACTCCTTGGAAAGAGTGATCAATGGGAAAAGTGTGGGCGAATCAGTTACATGAAAAAAGCAATTTGCAAAGATATCACCATGTAAGTAATGGAGAAAACACATTCACAAAAACAAACAGAAGACTCTCCTTTGGTGTAGACTGCGCCAATCCAGATGCTAAGCCAGGTTAAATCAAGATGAAAACTAGATGCTGACTATGGTTACAATTATATTCATAATACCATCTCTATACTGGGTACGTTCATGGACTCAGTAAAAGTTGGAAAAACTGGAAAAGAAAAGCTGATTGTAAATCCACAGAACTAAGCTGAACCTGGCACCGATATGCAACCTTTATGTTTTTTTAATGCGTTACACACACAAGGGGCCAGTATTATTATAGAGGCAAAGTCCCTTTTATAAAGTCATACAAATGGAAAGAAAACTAAAAGAAACTCTTAAAAGGTACAAAGAAAAAATAGCTGTGCAGATCTGCACCATGTTACACGTTCATTAGCATACAGGCTGGTATTGCTGACTTGATGAAACTTGGGACTGTTTAAGTAGTATGTTGAAAAGCCAATCTCTCCATCTCAACACTGCTGCTAACTCTCTCAGCAAACATTATTTTGCTAGACTTGGGACAAACAGATATTACTTTTCTGGTTATTCTCTACTCCTGACTCAGCTTTGTATATAAAAAAAAGGTTCTTGATAAGTAGCAGTGTTTTATACCTTATCACAAAGCTGCAATCCTGACGTTGCTGCATAGCAACACGACAGCTATGAAAACTGTGTAAGTGACCACGGGCAGGTAAAAAAGGCCTAGCTGGACCACCTGCAGGGACGGAGCAGCAAGCTCCGGTTCAAGTTACATGCTCCTGCGCCTCGAGCTTACGGAGCAGGTCGACTGTTCCTGAACACAGCAGCAGACACATGAACTTCAGTATCACTTCTATTTGCTAGAGGGAGACAAAAGTAACACACTTTTAAAGTGGATCATCGTTTTGCCCCTTTTAATTGCCTCGAGATCTATATTTTGCTGTGCCATCACCACTGGAAAAGCAGTTTCTGAACTTGTACTGCTTATTCACAAGAGCAAACATTTTGCAGAAAAGCATCCTGCCTAGTGGCATGCCCAAGGTTAGGTGGCAGCTTTACTCTCATACTGCTTTAAGAGTTATTTAAAAATTAGGATTTTATTGGGATGGGCAGGGGAAGATGAGATCCACTCGAAGAAACTCTGCTGCCAAGTGTAGCATCAGCATGCAAAGCAAAACAGATTAACATAATCTCATACGGGACATAATCCTAAAATCATAACTCTGACGAGGCTCCCACTGCCTGCCGTGAGAACCCCACGCGCGTAAGAAGCTACAAAGGAACAGCTCTAAGGTCAGCAGAACAGCTGCAGAGCAGAAACCCAAAGCTGCAAGCTGTCCAATACTGAACTTAATTTCACAATTGCTTTCCAAGTTGCAAGGATTTTTTTTTTTGTTTTCGAACTAGGAATAAGAGATCCTATCCCAACTCAGCAATATAGAGCTGCTAACAGATGGATTAAAATTTTTGACATCAGTAAGGCTTTTTTTTTTTTTTAATACTATTGTTTAAACATAGGACTTGGCCTAATGTGTTTTTCCCTCGCATGAACTCTTGGAAGGTGCTGGGTGAAGAGAGACTTTTTCTCTTAATCTAATTCATTCCTCAAGACTGTTGCACCTGGGAAAAGAGAATTCCTCAGAAAGACAAGAAAAAGGACACTAAATGAAACAGTATTTTTCAGAGGACTTAAAATAATTTTCCATGCTTGTATTTTGCAGTTCTTCAGTCATTTTTACTACTTTTATCTGTTTTTCCCTCCCCTCACTCCTGTTGTTGAGCAACAGATGCACCATAAAAGGGAAACAGAGAATATGACTATTTGCAAAATGCTGCCAACTGTACAAAACAAACATAATAAGTTTTAAAATACCAAATTTGCTTTTCTCCTAAATTTGAGGCGCATAAATTGCATGGGCTACATCTTTTATCTGTTGGTACTACATTTCCAGACAGAAGCCTAACTCTTGAAGCTGGTTGTGTCTATCTGACCTGGACTACCAAAATGTTTCTGTAAACCCAAGGTATAGCAGTCCTTAGTGGCTAGAACAAGCACATCGAAACCCAGGTTACTGTCTGATAGATCAACCTGCAAACGCTTTCCTGCCTCTTTTGAGAATACCTTTACAACGGGGCTTCTCCTCAGTCAGCTGTCTTACACTGACTAAGCGCCCTGCACCTCCAAAGCGGATCACAGCCCTGTGCAAACAGGATTGATGTGCATACAAGATACAGATTCAACCCCACCCATTTCAGTTTGCCTTTGGTTGCCCGAGCCCCCAGATGGCCCCGCTGCTGTGCTGACTCAGGGCTGAGTCAGAGCAAGAGTGCCACGTACACCTCCGCCACATCCTGCAGCACCTGGGATTTTCTTTGGGAGTCTCCCAACTGATATTGCGCAGCTTTTAAGCTCTCATTAGAAACCTAACAATATGGCGTGGCTACCAGCCAACAGTGAGCTTTTAAAAGGTTTCTGACAGAAACGAAAGAGAGAGAGAGATGGAGAAGAAAGCCGCTCAGTGCTGGACAAAACCCAAAAGCATCTACCTCGTACCCAAAGGTGACATGAGCAAACTCGGTAAGAAGCAACGGCAACTACTTAGATGAGGTAGTGAGCACACTGAGGGTGAACTCCCTGACAACACTTTTGTAAGCGCTGATGTCTTTCGCACTGGAGAAAAAATTCCCTCCACCCACGCTCCACAGAGGCTATGTTTACTGATACAGCCATTTCTTTTCTTCCAACTCACTCCTGCTTAACACAGTCAGTATTTATCTCAGACTGGCTGAGAGCTTAGAAATTAGATGCAAACCACTTCACAAGGATCGCTAAAAACCAGGCGAGATTATTTTTGCCATAGCGGAAGTCTGAATGAGACAGACTGACAAACTCAACAGCAGAACATGGAGTCTAAATGACCTGGGTTAGGATTTGCGTTAGCATGGCCCAAGAGGCTGCAGCTAATCTAATAAGCTTACAGGGAGGCTAGGATTAATCCTTCCTTCCTTGCCATTCACCCCAAGGGTCTCCATGACTCAGAGGCTGGTAAACGAAGGGATGTGACTGGAGAGGGAGCGAGGGAGAGGAGAGGAGGGAGGGAGGAGGCAGGCAGGCAGGCAGGGGCACGTTCTCACCTGAGGCTGCTGTAGCGTTTGTAGGGGTGGAAGCGGCTGCTTGATTCCGGGCATGAGCAGGGATGAGGATCGAAGCCAGAGATGGGTTACTTGACAGTTCTGGAGGGGAGGGGGAACAAACAGAGTTAGCTCATCGTTCATCAAGAACCCCGCATGCAGGTTTAACTCCTCAGGTTTCCTCAGTAACCGTAACCTCGGATGAAACGCATGCCTGCGCAGCCGAAGATCACGTTACGTTTTCTTTCTTTGCTTATGAGCAAGAGGAAACCCACAGTGATATTTGGCGAGGAAGTCTCCAGAGCAAGACTGTCAAAGCTACAAGTAGTGACACACGGGAATTATCTCCTAGGGAA